CCTCTCTCCACTGAATTGACTTTGCTCTTTTTTTAAAAAAGGATTTTATTTATTTATTTGACAGAGAGAGAGACACAGAGAGAGAGGGAACACAAGCAGGGGGAGTGAGAGAGGGAGAAGCAGGCTCCCCACTGAGCAAGCAGCTGGACGCAGGGCTTGATCCCAGGACTCTGGGATCATGATCTGAGCTGAAGGCAGATGCCCAACGACTGAGCCACCCAGAGCCCTGTGCCTTTGCTGTTTTCTTAAAGATCAGTTCACTAGGGCACCTGGGTGGCTCAGTTGGTTAAGCGACTGCCTTTGGCTCAGGTCATGATCCCAGAGTCCTGGGATCGAGTCCCACGTCGGGCTCCCTGCTCAGCAGGGAGTCTGCCTCTCTCTCTGACCCTCCCCCCTCTCATGCTCTCTATCTCATTCTCTCTCTCAAATAAATAAATAAAATCTTTAAAAAAAAAAATCAGTTCACTATATTTTTGTGGATCTATTTCTGAACTCCCTATTCTGTTCCAGTGATCTGTGTGTTCTTTCACCAAAAACATGTTATCTTGATTACAATTAGTGTTTTCTTTTTTTAAAATTACACTTGTACATTTTTCTTTTTATACCTTCAAGAGCCAGTTTTGAATTTCTTTGCTCATTCTGGCTCATTTCTTTATTATTTCTTTTCTTCTTCTTCTTTTTTTAAAAAATATTTATTTATTCAACAGAGAGAGACATAGTGAGAGAGGGAACACAAGCAGGGGGAGAGGGAGAGGGAGAAGCAGGCTTCCCGCTGAGCAGGGAGCCCAGTGCTGGTCTCAGTTCCAGGACCCTGGGATCATGACCTGAGCCGAAGGCAGATGCTTAACAACTGAGCTGCCCAGGTGCCCCTATTACTTCTTTTCTTGACCTTGTTATTGTTTTCTCTAGCTTCTTCAGTTAAATTAGTTAAGCTCATTTCATTTTCTCTTAAAATATGTATATTAGTCTTCTAGGGCTGCCATAAAAAAAAAAATACCACAGGTTGGGTGGCTTAACCAGCAGAAATTTATTTTCTCACAGCTCTGGAGGTTTGAAGTCCAAGATCAAGGTGCTGGAAAATTGATTTTTTAGTGAGGTCTCTCTTCCCAGCTTGCAGATGTCCACCTTCTCCATGTCCTCATGACCTTTTCTCTGTGCCAAGGGAAGTGGGGAAAGGGATAAAGAGATCTCTGGTGTCTTTTCCTCTTCTTATAAGGCCACAAATTCTATTAGATTAGGGTCCCACTCAGTGACCTTATTTAGCTTTAAGTACCTCCTTAAAGGCCCTGTCTTCGAACACAGGCACACTGGAGGTTAGGGCTTCAACATACACATTTTGGAGGGATACAATTTGGTCTATAAAAATATGATAAAAGCGGGGCGCCTGGGTGGCTCAGTTGGTTGAGCGACTGCCTTCGGCTCAGGTCATGATCCTGGAGTCCCAGGATTGAGTCCCGCATCAGGCTCCCTGCTCAGGGAGGAGTCTGCTTCTCCCTCTGACCCTCCCCCTCTCATGCTCTCTCTCTCTCTCTCTCATTCTCGCTCTCAAATAAATAAATAAAATCTTTAAAAAAAAAAAAGAATATACTTTAAAAAAAATATGATAAAAGCATCATTGCTATGAATTTATTTCTGAATATAGCTTTATCTCTAAAGTGCGTTCTTTAGTACATGGTGTTATCACTATTCTCTACACATTGTTATTGCGTACTTATTTCCTTATTGATCTAATAGTTACTTGGAAAATCATGGTGACTTTCCCTTGTTCTCCAGAATTTTTTATAAGCCCTATATTTTAAAAGCTAATATAGAAATTTATAATATTGCTTTGATATTTTGAATTTATTGAAATTAGTCTAATAGAATGGTTCTCAATCCTAGGGGACATTTGGATATGTGTATTTTTGGTTGGCATAATGATGTGCAGTGGGGGAGGGCTTCATGTAGTTCACAGGGGTGAGACCTTCTGGATCTCCACGCTATAGGCCAGCCATGAGGAACTGTGGTGTGTGTGTGTGTGAGAGAGAAAGAGATTGAGAAAGCAGGAGATGAATTTCAGGCCCTGTCTCTAAACATGGCACGCTGCCATTGCTTTGCTGCTATCACATGTAAGTGTGGAGCACTGTGTGTGGAGTCTCCTTTCAGAGTTGCAGGTGTGCAGTGAGGCAGAGCCCACTCTGCTCTGGGTTTCCTCCTTTTCTTTGGGGGTCTCAATCCACTTTCAGGATTTCAACTACCTCCAAGGGAATGCATACTAGGGAGCGGCCTCACATTGTGTCTACTCTAAACTCATTTCCTTTGATGCTCTTCTAGATCCTTCTCCACTGTCTGGGATGGGGCTTTAATTTCTTCCTTAGGTGGCATGAAACAACTTAAATCCTTCCTGCAATTTTTCTCTTTTAAGACTCTTATTTAGAATGTGCTCAGTCCTTTAAACTCTGACTCTTGCTCTCTGAAGGGAGATTTTTTTGCCCCCACATAAATATTTGTAGTGAGGAGAGGGATCTTTTAAAATTTCCTATTAAATTTAATTTTGGTATAATTTCAGACTTAAAGTCTCAGGAAAAGCACAAAGAATTTTCAAAAACTCTTTATCCAGATTCTCCAAGTGTTAACGTATTGCCACATCCTCCTCTGTCTCTGTCTCTGTATAGATGTGTCTCCCCTCTGCCTCCCTCTTCACACAAGGACACGTGCCCGTGCGCACACACACACAAGTCAAGAAATTAGCACTGATTCAATACTATTGTCCAATCTACTGACTTTCTTCATATTTTGCCAACGGTCCCACTAAAATCCTTTCTAACCAAAGAAAGTCCATTATATTGCACTTAGTTGTCATGTCTCTTTAGTCATTCTTTGTGTTTTATGACATTGGCATTTTTGAAGACTATAGGCTTGATATTTTGTAGACTCTTCCCCCATCTGCGTTTGTTTCTATTTCCACAAAATTAGGTTCAGGTTATGCATTTTTGGCAGGACTCCCACTGTGTCCTCAATGGATCCTATCAGAAGGGGCATGATGTAAATTGTCACATAACTGGTGAGGTGAACCTTGATCACTTGGTTAAGGTGGTGTCTGCTAGGTTTCTCCACTGTAAAGGTACTAGTTTTCCTTTTGTACTGAGTAAGTCATCTTTCAGGGAGATACTCTGAAGCTATTGTGTCATTCTTCAAACTTTCATCCATTACGTTTACCATCCATTGGTGATTCTTACCTGAATCAGTTATTATTATGATGGTTACCCAATGACTATTTTCTAATTTCATTACTTCTTCTATAGTAATTCCTTTTTTTTTTTTTTTTTTTTTTTATTGTAAGGAAGAGTTTTCTAAAGGAGGACTTTGGAAATTCAGAAAATGTTTTTTATTTTTTCTCTTGTGGAGTTAAGCTCCTGAAATTGAATAACTGACTTTCAAAACTGTTGTCTTTTTTTTTTTTTTTAAGATTTTATTTATTTATTTGAAAGAGAGAGAGATCACAAGTAGGCAGAGTGGCAGGCAGAGGGAGAGGGAGAAGCAAACTCCCCGCTGAGCAGAGAGCCTAATTTGGGACTCGATCCCAGGACCCTGGTATCATGACCTCAGCCGAAGGCAGACGCTTAACTGACTGAGCCACCCAGGCGCCCCAGAACTGTTGTCTTTTCAGCTCAAAGCTGAGCTATGAGGCCTTTGCTCTAGGCTGTGCCCACCTTCTCTCTGAGGTACTAAGTGTACAGAATACCACTGAGACCATTGTTGAAGAGTCACAGGATCACAAGAATCATTTTAGCCTGGGAAAAGCCCTTAGGTTAAAATTATCTCCAAATATCACCTTGCTGTAACAGTTTTTAGTATTGCAAATTTTCATATTTTTGTGTCTTTCTAGGTGTTTTGGTATAAAAGTGAGTAAAACTGCTATTAAAAAGGAATTATGGGATCAAAAATAAATATATTACCACTTGAAAAGAACTTTAAACCTTTCTGTATTTTACACAAAAGTAGTTTACCCCTCTTCCACCCAAGGTTTACACCACTGATTTGCTAGATTAACTCATCGAAGATCATGTGGGATTAGCATTGTAAGGTCAATCCCAATGATTTTCCATTGTTTTGAATTCTAAGTTAGGGAATTGGAATCGATACATTTCTTTTTACCCTCAGACATTGTATGTTTTGAATTGGGTGATATTTGTATGTTGGGGTGAATGTATCTTCTGCCAACTTCCTTTGCCTGTATCATCTCTAAGAGGGTGATTGAACCAGGTTTGTTTCAGAGACAGGTGGTGGATACTATAATATCCCCAGGCTTGTCATGTTTCTGAAGCAAAAACAGTTCTGGGCCACAACCTGGCAGAGTCTCTCATGTTAAGACATGGAGACTTGAAAGAAAAGGATACTTGTTTATGTTATGTCTATTTCTTACAGATATACAGTGTCTACATTAGCTAAAAGGAGAAAATAAAATAAATTACATTGAAACAAGAAGAGTTGAAAAAACACAATTTCCTAATTTCTTTATGGGTATTAGCCCAAGAGCATAAATCCCAAAGCTATCCCAAAGAAAGAAAGCTAACTGCTAAGAGTCTCCTGGTTTTCTCTTTCAAACACATGCTTTTATTTGTGTTTATCTGAAATCTTTATTTGGGGATCCAAAAGAAAAAAAACCCACGAAGTTATTCAGTGTGCATATTCTCTATATTATGAATGTTGGAATTTGGATACATTAACTCCAGAGAGTTAATGTGGTATTTTAGCACACACTTTGTACATCCTCTTTGCATAGAAGTCCTAGGGAAGTGCTTCTTGACTATCTTGATTTTCTGCTGTTTATTTCAGCGGCTAATGTGTATAAAGATGATTATCATTTCTACCTGGCAGTGACATCTTAAGAAATGTGTATGTAGAGGGGATTGAGGAATATTGCAGAGGATGTTGGATCTTCCTTTTAAACAACTATTCATGTAGGCAACTTCTTACTTATTTTGTGTATTTGAACAAGTGATTTTTTAAATCAGTAGATCCTTCTCGCTATGAGCATGAAGACACCTTTTTCTCAGTGTTTCACACTCAAGTCCCTCCAGAAGAATATGAAAACCGTATACAGAATGTCAATCAAGGTATGTTTCGATTTGTGTGATTTTGCATATTGTCACAAGAAAATACTAGCTATACACAGAAATATTCACAGATGAAATAATTTGATGTGATTTAATCCAGAGGTAGGTGAAAGTAGGTTAAGGTTCTAGATGAAACAAGATTGGTCACAAGTTAATCATTGTTGAAGTTAGTTGTTGAAGGTTTATGATACCATTCTTTCTACTTTTGGATATTTAAATTTTATGTAATAAAGAGTTAAAGAAAAGCTGGTTTCAAGTAATAGAAAACTAGCTTAAGCAAAAAAGAAAATTTATGGAAATAATCCTGGAGGTAGACAGCTTTTTTGATTCCCAAGAGCAAATTCTGTGGTTAGTCATTGAGAGGGAGACTCAATTTTGAAATTGCAGAGAAGACAACAACTGATCCAGCTTGGGTTAGGCACCTGCCGCTGGTCCAACCAACTCATCCAACCCAGCAAGGGTTGGGGTTAATATAGGAACGTGGCCACTTCTACTGTTGGTCACCACCAGGGTGGAGAGGAGAAGACAGTTCTAGTGAGACAGTTCTGACCAGACGACTACAATTTAAGAGACTATTATAAATGTAGACATGAATGCATATAATTTGAGTTATTTTATTTATTTATTTATTTATTTATTTATTTATTTATTTATTTATTTATTTATTTTTAAGATTTTATTTATTTATTTGACAGGGAGAGACACAGCAAGAGAGGGAACACAAGCAGGGGGAGTGGGAGAGGGAGAAGCAGGCTTCCCGCGGAGCAGGGAGCCCGATGCGGGGCTCGATCCCAGAACTCCGGGATCATGACCTGAGCCGAAGGCAGACGCTTACATGACTGAGCCACCCAGGCGCCCCTAATTTGAGTTATTTTAATATATTTTTTTAAAGATTTTATTTATTTATTTGAGAGAGAGAATGAGATAGAGAGAGAGCATGAGAGGGGGGAGGGAGGGAGAAGCAGACTCCCTGCTGAGCAGGGATCCCGATGCGGGACTCGATCCTGGGACTCCAGGATCATGACCTGAGCCGAAGGCAGTCGCTTAACCAACTGAGCCACCCAGGCGCCCAAATTTGAGTTATTTTAATGTTGTATTATTTAGGAGTATATGAAACTTAAACTGAATGAGTAAACCTCACATTTCAACTTAAAAGACTATACACAACTTCGATTATGGGAGAAAGTTGCATATTTTATATCTGAGGAGGCCACTCACCAAAAAAAACCTCATACTTTAACTACTGGTAGTTGATTAAAAAACTTTATTGATTGGGTGCCTGAGTGGTTCAGATGGTTAGGCATCTGCCTTTGGCTCAGGTCCTGATCCCGGGGTCCTGGGATCGAGTCCCACATCAGGCTCCCTGTTCCCTGGGGAGCCTGCTTCTCCCTCTGCCTCTGCCTCTCTCTCTGTGTGTCTCTCATGAATAAATAAATAAAACCTTAAAAAAAAGTTATTGATCAAATAAATAAGATCCCAGTGATAAAATACAGATTGATTTGCCTAGAAACTTGTAACTTAAATTTGAGTGAAACTTCATTCTTACTCAAATTTATTTTTTTTGAAAAGAATTTAAATCCAGAGATCTTACCCTTTTCCTGGTCCTTTCCAGCAATTATTATCAAAATATATTCTTTAATTATTAAATTTGTATTGAATCTTTGGTAACTAGCTATAAATATACCAACTGACTAGCTCCCTTAATCCTTCTTATTGACATACCCTCTTTTATAAAACAAAGATAACTTTTAAGTAAACCTTGTCTGGATTGAGCTACTGGCTGCTGTTTTTCCCTTTTGGATTTTAATGTGGTAATTTATCCTCTTTTGTAGGGTGGACTCCATTTGTCGTTTAAGAAGACTCTTCTTTATGCCTGTTTTCAGAGCTTTAAAGAAGCGGTCACATGATCTTGTTTTAAATGCTTTAAACGTGACCACAGTGAAAACAAGATATATAATAAAGGGAATAAGAGTCCATAAGTATTTTTCTTACCCTTGTTTTGAGCACCCAGGGTCTGAACACCTCAGAAGTTGACTCAGGCCTCTTTACAAAGGTTGAGAAAAGTGACAAACTGAGATGAGCTCTCAGGGTTTGTGCAGATGGGATGTCGAACATCCAGGACCCTTGTGCCCAGACTTTGCTTTAAAGACAGGTTTGAACAAAAAGTTACTGTTCAGAGAGGGTAATGGCATATTAATAGAAGAGCAGGAAATGACTCTAGTCTTTAGGGAAAATTTTGTTTCATATAAAAACTGAGATAAAATATACTGTATTAATTAATGAGCTTCATTGGAGTATAGTTGACACACATTTTACACTAATTTCAGGTTACAACATAGTGACTCAGCGAGTTTACACGGTAATCTATGCTCACCACAAGTGTAGCTCCCCTCTGTTACCGTGCAACACTATTACAATACCACTGACTATGTTCCTTATGCTGTGCCTTTCATCCCCGTGACTTATTCATTCCCTAACTGGAAGCCTGGGTGTGCCACTCCCCTTCACCCTTTTGGCCCATCTCCTCAAACTTCTCCCCTCTGGCAACCATTGTTTTGCTCTCTGTATTTATAGGTATGATTCTTTTTTTTTTTTTTTTATGTTATGTTAGTCACCATACATTACATCATTAGTTTTTGATGGAGTGCTCCACGATTCATTATTTGCGTATAACACCCAGTGCTCCATGTAATATGTGCCCTCCTTAATGCCCATCACCGGGCTAACCCATCCCCCCACCCTATAGGTATGATTCTGCCTTTTGTTTCCTTATTTATCCATTTCTTTTGCTTTTTAGATTCCACCTATGAGTGAAATCATATGGTAATTGTCTTCCTCAGTCTGACTCATTTCACTTAGCATAATACCCTCTAGGTTTATCCATGTTGTCACAAATGGCAAGATCTTTCTCTTTTTTATGGCTGAGTAATATTCTAGTGTCTGTGTGTGTGTGTGTGTGTGTGTGTGTATCACATCTTTTTCCGTAAGAATAAATCTCCCTATATATTAGGTTTCTGGATTTGGAATTTAGAAGTTATTCTATATGTGTTTTATTTCTTATATATTTTAATGTATGCTTATATATTTTAATGTTTGCTTTATTTCTTATATATTTAATATATATATATTTAATGTATGCTTAAATTTAAAATTTTAGTATAATGGACAATTATAATTATGAAAAACTTTGAACTTTTTTAATATTAGATTTTACCTATGATGTGGGAGGAAACGAGTCATTGATCAAAGCAGAAAAGAAACCTTTTTCAGATACAGAAAAGACTGAGCTCAGGGGTAAACACAGCCAGGATTTTATTATGCGAAACATTGAGGTATGTACTTAGAAATTTAGAAATCAGAATGTGGGATTAAATGAGTTATGAAAATGAAAATAGTTGTGTTCACGGTCTTTAAACACTTTTTTGATCATGATTCATGTATATGTAATTGAAATAGTATATATAACTGAAAGAAAAGTTTTATGGACCAGTACCTAACTTCACTATTTTTTATTCCATCCTATCTTATTCTACCCCTTTTAAAAAAGCTAGCTGCGATTCAGTATGTTTATTTCACTAACCAGAAATGAATCTGGTTCCTGCAGTTTGAAACACATTTATTTAGATAATAGCTTCAGACAGTGTTTCCCAGATTTTAAATTGCATATTAGTAAAATTGGCTTTTTAAAGTCATGAGACTGAGTTTATAGATGGTGCATTTAGAAGTTTGCATGGAATATTCTCCTGGCAGAGCTGGAGAGGCCAACGGGTTGTCTGCCCCTTGCCCCCTCCAGCTGAGCCTCCAGGAAGCCTGTCACTTGTCACTTGCCTTGATTAGCTCCCTGCTTCAGGGGCTCAACCTTGGTCTTTCAGATCCTACAGCCTGACTTGGTATGTCCTCAAGGCAGACTAACCCAGGGCAAAGGGGCTCCTCTATTAGACCAGAATGCTGATTAACTAATTTACAACAAGAAATGTAGGTGCAGTGGACAGAAGGCTTGTGACAAACCACCCGGGCAGTTACTAGATGAGTTACTAGGTGAGTGTGAAGTTATTCACAAGAGGAGAGGGTTATATAATTCCTCCCAGTTCAAGCCTGATTCTCCTTCCACAGTTGGCACGTCATTTCCAGGCAGATTGGATTCATGGATCAACGTGCTGCTGCCAGAACTGGCCTCTGGGACTCTCACTTTTCTCTCTTCATGTTTCTCTGATCTGAAGGAAACCCTCTCCAACTTGATCTGTCTCTTTGCACTGGCCCATGTTGATTTATTTCATTTTTTCAAGAGCGATAGCGTTTTTCTCATAGCCAGGTTCTTGCTGACACAGACAGCTGCCCCACCATGACTCTCCCTCTTCCCCTTTTAACAATAGTAGCTGACTCTTTTTCAAAGTCCTGCTATGACAGTCTTGAAATTTAAAAGCAAGTTCATTTAGGAGAGAGTGGGACATCTGGCTTGCAAGCGGGCACCTTCATTTTGGGTGCGATGGGAGAGCAATTTTGAAATGGGTGATGTTGAGAAGGACAAGAAGAGTTTTGTTCCAAAGCGTGCCTAGTGCCATATGGTGGGAAAGGGAGAGAAGCACGAGACTGGGCCAAATCTCCGTGGTCTGTTTGGGTGAAACACAGGGCAGGCCCCTGGATTTTCTTACCTGGATGCCAACAAGAACAAAGGCAGCACTTGGGGAGAGGAGACACCGATGGAGTATTTGGAGAATCTCAAGAAGCACATCCCTGGAACAAAACCAATCTTCACTGGCATTAGGAAGACAGGGGAAAACGGGCAGACTCGATAGCTTCTAAGGCACATCAGTTGGCCACTGCCTTGCAAAACAAGAATGTCTCATGACTTCTTCTCTGTGTACCGTATTTAGAATGATCTCATACACCAGAATCAGATCATGAATGGCTGATGGGATATTTCTTTTGGACAGTCCTGATTGAAATAAGATTGGCTTGTGGTTAAATGCATATGATCAGCTTTTTGAACTTCGATAGTAATTCTGGTTCAGCCAGTGCTGTCACTGTTTTCCCCTTCTAGAAAGATGATTGGAATCGACTGGTAATGTTCAGCTTTTCACAGAGATGGTAAATGCCATCCCTAAACCTGGAGGAGATGGGTTTTCTATTGAGATTTATATAACTGTTAGGTTTATTTAAATACTGAGGAAATCCCTTCACTATCTCACAGAACAGCAAGACTCCGCTGTGTTTCACATCGTGTTCATTAGCTTGTTAAAGGCAAGGACTGAAGATAAGCTGGCAATGTCCACTTTCTCTTTTTGGTCTTTTTTTTTTTTTTTTTAAAGATTTTATTTATTTGACAGAGAGAGACAGCGAGAGCAGGAACACAAGCAGGGGGAGTGGGAGAGGGAGAACCAGGCTTCCCGCAGAGCAGGGAGCCCGATGTGGGACTCGATCCCAGGACCCTGGGATCATGACCTGAGCTGAAGGCAGACGCTTAACGACTGAGCCACCCAGGCGCCCTCTTTTTGGTCTTTTTTTATAAAGATTTTATTTATTTGAGAGAGAGAGAGAACACAAGCAGGGTGAGGGGCAGAGGGAGAAGCAGACCCCCTGCCGAGCAGGGAGCCTGATGTGGGGCTCGATCCCGGGACTCCAGGATCATGACCTGAGCCAAAGGCAGACGTTCAACTGACTGAGCCACCCAGGCGCCCCTCTCTTTTTGGTCTTAACTCTGCCAATTTAATTAAAATTCCCTGCATCTAAAATGTTGCCTTTTGCTTAGTGAAAGCCATTTTCATGTGGTTAATATATAATATTAAACCAAGAATATTTAACACTTCTTGCATTTTATTGATGATCTATAACATCAGATACTTTTAGAATTCATTGTGACAGGATACAGTAGCAAACCTTGGCTTGTGAATTCTTCACTAAGTCAGAGGAAGTTATAATTCAGGATTGTCTTTTTTTTTTTTTTTAAAGATTTTATTTATTTATTTGAGAGAGAGAGAGAATGAGAGACAGAGAGCATGAGAGGGAGGAGGGTCAGGGGGAGAAGCAGACTCCCTGCCAAGCAGGGAGCCCAATGCGGGACTCGATCCCGGGACTCCAGGATCATGACCTGAGCGGAAGGCAGTCGCTTAACCAACTGAGCCACCCAGGCGCCCCAGGATTGTCTTTTAAACAGCTTTTTGAAAACATAACTATAGAATTACCACATATGCATGATTGGTTATGGTGCTTTTACCAACTCATTACAAGGATTAAAGTTGAGGAAATATACCATCAGCACAAATTTGAAAATTATGTGATAAGACTTCAAATAATTAAAAACAAAATCACAGATCAAAAAAAAATAAAAGCAATTTCATTCACTAGATCCATGTCACGTAGGAAGTGGCAAGGAGATTCCTCCCAAATACCTCAGCAAATACGTTATTACATTGATAAATATTATATAAAAAGAGGATTGCAAACTGCCCATGTTTGTTTTATTTTATATTTTAAATAAAATGTTTGTTGAAATGGCTAACATGAAGGTCTGCTTATAGTAGGAGTATCTTTACTTGGAGAATGGACTTACAGCAACAATTTGGCCTAAAAGAAAACTACCTCAAAAATGAAAAATGCCTAATCCCACAGATTTTACCTTAGTGTATCTGTGCTATAAAAGCCTCAGTTCCCATTTTTATTTTCCTGAACTATGAATTGTCTTATTTACTGTTTTTTATTAATACATTCCGTAGTTGGCCAAGGATTCAGGAAAGCCAGTGGTTATGGTTGACAGAGAGAGGAAAAGGCTGACTGAACTTTTGAAGGACTTAGATGACAGAGATTCGGGGCTGTCCTGTCCTGAGGTATGTAAGCTTCGATATTCAATGACCTCTACACTTCTTCTTCTTCTTCTTTTTTTTTTGTAGTTTCAATTTTTTATTTAAATTCCAGTTAGTTAACACAGCATGTAATATTAGTTTCAGGTATAGGCCTTAGTGATTCATCACGTACATACAACATCCAATACCCGGTGCTCATCACAGCACGTGCCCTCCTTAATCCCCATCACCTATTTAAACCATCCCCCCATCAACCCTCAGTTTGTTCTCCATTGTTAAGAGTCTGTTTTATGATTTGCCTCTCCCTGCAATGTTCATTTGTTTTGTTTCTTAAATCCCACCTATGAGTGATTAATAAGGTATTTGTCTTTTTCTCACTGATTTATTTCACTTAGCATAATACTCTCCACCTCCAGCCACTGCAAAAACATGCCCAATCTTGTCTGATCTTGGAAGCTAAGCAGGGTTGGGCCAGGTTAGTACTTGGATGGGAGACTACACTTCTTACTTATGTTTTCTTTATTTTTTTAATTAACATATAATGTATTATTTGTTCCAGGGATACAGGTCTATGATTCATCAGTCTTACACAATTCACAGTGCTCACCATAGCACATACCCTTCCCAGTGTCCATCACCCAGCCACCCCATCCCTCCCACCCCTCACCACTCCAGCAACCCTGTTTGTTTCCTGAGATTAAGAGTCTCTTATGGTTTGTCTCCCTCTCTGATTTTGTCTTGTTTCATTTTTCCCTCCCTTCCCCTATGATCCTCTGTTTTGTTTCTCAAATTCCTCATATCAGTGAGATCATATGATAATTGTCTTTCTCTGATTGACTTATTTCACTTAGCATAATACCCTCTAGTTCCATCCACGTCGTTGCAAATGGCAAGATTTCATTTTTTGATGGCTGCATAATATTCCATTGTGTACATATACCACATCTTTTTTATACATTCTTCTGGTTTTTTTTTTCATTTTATGTTATGTTAGTCACCATACATTACATCATTGGTTTTTAAAAATTTTTTAATTAATTATTAAAAAATTTTTTTAAAAAGATTTATTTATTTATTTGACAGAGAGAGACACAGCAGGAGAGGGAACACAAGCAGGGGGAGTGGGAGAAGGAGAAGCAGTCTCCCTGCTGATGTGGGGCTCGATCCCAGGACCCCAGGACCATGACCTGAGCCGAAGGCAGACACTTAATGACTGAGCCACCCAGGCACCCGATTATTTACTTATTTTTTTAAATTAATTTTATTCTATTATGTTAGTCACCATACATTATATCATTAGTTTTTGATGTAGTGCTCCATGATTCATTGTTTGCATATAACACCCAGTGCTCCATGCAGAAAGTGCACTCTTTAATACCCATCACCAGGCCAACCCATCCTCCCACCCCCCTCCCCTCTAGAACCCTCAGTTTGTTTTTCAGAGTCCATCGTCTCTCATGGTTCGTCTACCCCTCCGATTTCCCCCCCTTCATTTTTCCCTTCCTGCTATCTTCTTTTTTTTTAACATATCATGTATTATTTGTTTCAGAGGTACAGGTCTGTGATTCAACAGGCTTACACAATTCACAGTGCTCACCATAGCACATACCCTTCCCAGTGTCCATCACCCAGCCACCCCATCCCTCCCACCCCTCACCACTCCAGCAACCCTGTTTGTTTCCTGAGATTAAGAGTCTCTTATGGTTTGTCTCCCTCTCTGATTTTGTCTTGTGTCATTTTTTCCTCCCTTCCCCTATGATCCTCTGTCTTGTTTCTCAAATTCCTCATATCAGTGAAATCATATGATACTTGTCTTTCTCTGATTGACTTATTTCGCTTAGCATAATACCCTCTAGTTCCATCCACGTCGTTGCAAATGGCAAGATTTCGTTTTTTTTTTTTTTAAAGATTTTATTTATTTTTGACAGAGAGAGAGAGCACAAGCAGGGGGAACAGCAGAGAAAGAGGGAGAAGCAGACTCCCTGCTGAGCAAGGAGTCCGATGCGGGGCTCGATCCCAGGACCCTGAGATCATGACCTGAGCCAAAGGCAGACGCTTAACTGTCTGAGCCACCCAGGTGCCCCAAGATTTCATTTTTTTTGATGGCTGCATAATATTCCATTGTGTATATATATACCACATCTTCTTTATCCATTCATCTGTTGATAGACATCTTGGCTCTTTCCATAGTTTGGCTATTGTGGACATTGCTGCTATAAACATTGGGGTGCATGTACCCCTTCAGATCACTACATTTGTATCTTTGGGGTAAATACCCAGTAGTGCAATTCCTGGGTCATAGGGTAGCTCTATTTTCAACTTTTTGAGAAACCTCCATACTGTTTTCCAGAGTGGCTGCACCAGCTTGCGTTCCCACCAACAGTGTAGGAGGATTCCCCTTTCTCCGCATCCTCGCCAACATCTGTGGTTTCCTGACTTGTTAACTTTAGCCATTCTGGCTGGTGTGAAGCAGTATCTCATTGAGGTTTTGATTTATATTTCCCTGTTGCTGAGCGACGTTGAGCACTTTTTCATGTGTCGGTTGGCCATTTGGATGTCTTCTTTGGAAAAATATCTGTTCATGTCTTCTGCCCATTTCTTGATTGGATCATTTGTTCTTTGGGTGTTGAGTTTGATAAGTTCTTTATAGATTTTGGATACTAGCCCTTTATCTGATATATCATTTGCAAATATCTTCTCCCATTCTGTCAGCTGTCTTTTGGTTTTGTTGACTGTCTCCTTTGCTGTGCAAAAGCTTTTTATCTTGATGAAGTCCCAATAGTTCATTTTTGCCCTTGCTTCCTTTGCCTTTGGCGATGTTTCTAGGAAGAAGTTGCTGTGGCTGAAGTCAAAGAGGTTGCTGCCTGTGATCTCCTCTAGGATTTAGATGGACTCCTGTCTCACATTTAGGTCTTTCATCCATTTGGAGTCTATTTTTGTGTGTGGTATAAGGAAATGGTCCAGTTTTATTCTTCTGCATGTGGCTGTCCAATTTTCCCAACACCGTTTGTTGAAGAGACTGTCTTTTTTCCATTGGACATTCTTTCCTGCTTTGTCAAAGATGAGTTGACCATAGAGTTGAGGGTCCATTTCTGGGCTCTCTATTCTGTTCCATTGATCTATGTGTCTGTTTTTGTGCCAGTACCATACTGTCTTGATGATGACAGCTTTGTAATAGAGCTGGAAGTCCGGAATTGTGATGCCACCAGATTTGCTTTTCTTTCTCAACATTCCTCTGGCCATTTGGGGTCTTTTCTGGTTCCATACAAATTTTAGGATTATTTGTTCCATTTCTTTGAAAAAAGTGGATGGTATTTTGATAGGGATTGCATTAAATGTGTAGATTGCTCTAGGTAGCATAGACATTTTCACAATATTTGTTCTTCCTTACTTTTTATTTTTTATCATGTTATTGGCTCATTTGCACAAATTTGCAGTAAATTTTTAAATTCTGGGACAATATTTTCTGATTTAAAAAATCCTGTTTTACAAATTTATGTTTATTGAATTTTTCAGATTTATTCTTGGTCAATCTGTTTTTGACTCTCAGAGGATTATCTGATGTCACTGTAAGAGTGACTACACATTAGAGCACCTGGGTGGCTCAGTTGTTAAGCGTCTGCCTTCGGCTCAGGTCATGATCCCAGGGTCCTGGGATCGAGTCCCACATCGGGCTCCCTGCTCCGTGGGAAGCCTGCTTCTCCCTCTCCCACTCCCCCTGCTTGTGTTCCTGCTCTTGTTATCTCTCTCTGTCAAATAAATAAATAAAATCTTTAAAAAAAAAAAAAGAGTGACTACACATTAGCTATCACAGTAAGAACCTCTGTTTGAGATGTAATAGTGCTTAGTCACTGATGACATATAAATCTGTTTCTCTGTGTCCTTTTATTTTGGACATTTCTTATTATCCCTAAGCTGGCTCCAGGATATTTTGGTGTCGTCTTCAGTAACCCTAAAGAACACCATCCTGCTCCCACCCTTGAGCATTCAGGTCCCTGAAGAGTCCAAGGAGGGGAACAGCATACAGTCCAGGGTTCAAGTGTGAGTGTGTATAGGGCACGGGCAGGTCAGATGAGCAGTGCAGTGTTTAGCATTTGCCCTTGTTTGCGTACTAACTTACAGCAATATCCTTTACTTACACAAAGAAATGCATTCTCCTGGGTACCTTGAAGCACCTAGCCCTGTCATCTAGTTTTATTTCCACATGTTTAATAGAGGCACGATGGGGTGAAGGCTGCTGGCATCCCGCCCAGATCCCTTTTACCTGGTACCTTCTGTGCCTCCCTCCGCCTGCCCTGGGCCGAGGCTGCACAGCTGCCTCCTTCCCTGGAGCATGGCCATGGGCTACCTGGGAGCCCAACAGCCTCGGATAGCACCCCCTCTCCACTCCCACCCCCTCCCCACTCAAGACGGGCTTGGCTCTGTGGTGCAGTGTCCCCCCCAGAGCTTCCCCAGGGCTCATCCGGGCCTCAGCTGAGACCACGAAACTTGCCTGGTTGTGTTTCCCTTGTCCTCGCCTGCTTCCCTCACACCGCTTCTTCTGAGGGCGCTCCCTCAATAAGTCACTTAAACAAGAATCCCTGTCTCGGGTTCTGCATCTAGACTGGCCTCAGATATGTAGGGGCAGAGGGTCGTTTTTGCTGTAGGGACACAAGCTGGTGTGAGCAACAGGACCTGTGGCCAGTGGGGGAAGGCGTGCCAGTTCTCGGCGGCCCACATTCCACCTCAGCTGGCGGCTGCAGCATGGAAATCTCAGCCCAGGGCTGATCCTCCAATGTAGAGAAGTTAGAAATTCAGATTTTTATGGGAAATACTCCTCTTTTAAATGTTGACAACTTATTTCATTTAAAAAAGTTCTGTGTAGGCAAACAAAGTTGCTACCTGCCGCCCTCACCCCAAACCACAGGCAAATCTACAGAACCTCACAGACTACAACCTCGAAATATTCTTTCCTGAGAGGTTGCAGGCCCAGCAGGGGCTGTGTCTAGGAACTTAGGAAGGTGTTGCTATGTCTGGGGTTGGCGAGATGCCCAGGGAGACCCCCTGACAAGGCAGAGGATAGATAGCCAGGCCTCAGAACATCTGGTGTGTTCTCTGAAGCAGGGGCGAGAAGTAGGTAAGGCAAACTGCTAACTTCCCACAGAATTTGGAAATACTTTAGCTTTAGAATTTATGGTAAATTATTTTGTTAACAAAAGCTAAGATAACAGTAAGACTTTTTTTTTTTTTTTTTTAATTAACAGTAAGACTTAAGGGACCTGCTTCTCATTCCTGGTTTTGTTATTAATTATGAAGTTAGGTAAACTGTTAGCCACTGATTCTCTGGGTTCCAAACTAGGGCATGGGTAGATCTACCCAGGAAGGATTTAACAGTGAATTTTTGTTATTAAATATCGCCTTTTATGTATTATTTTTGTTAGTATTTGTGTCTTGTCCCTCTCTTTATTTTAAACTCTTTTCTATCATTTACTTTGATTTTTAGGTAGATTGTTTACAAATACCATATAGTTGGATTTTTGTTGTTGCTGTTATGTGTTTGTTTCTTTATGTTTTGTTATTATTTCCTTATTCTTAATCTTTTAATGAGGATATTTAATTTATTCAAATTTATTATGACTACTGACAGTGTTTGGACCTTTTTTTGACATCTTTTTTTTTTTTTTTTAAAGATTTTATTTATTTATTTGAGACAGAGAGAATGAGAGACAGAGAGCATGAGAGGGAGGAGGGTCAGAGGGAGAAGCAGACTCCCCGCCGAGCAGGGAGCCCGATGCGGGACTCGATCCCGGGACTCCAGGATCATGACCTGAGCCGAAGGCAGTCGCTTAACCAACTGAGCCACCCAGGCGCCCCTTTTTTTTGACATCTTATTTGATATTTCATTGATTAGATTTATTTTGTTTTCTTTTTTTAAATTTTTAAATTTTTATTTTTTAAAAGATTTATTTATTTATTTGACAGACAGAGAGAGACACAGCGAGAGAGGGAACACAAGTAGGGGGAGTGGGAGAGGGAGAAGCAGGTTCCTGCTGAGCAGGGAGCCCGATGCAGGGCTGGATCCCAGGACCCTGGGATCATGACCTGAGCCAAAGACAGACTGAGCCACCCAGGCGCCCCTCTTTTTTTTTTTTTTAAAGATTTTATTTATTTATTTGACAGAGAGAGAGAGCACAAGCAGTTGGAGTGGCAGGCAGAGGGAGAGGGAGAGGCAGGCTCCCCCACCGAGTGGGGAGTTGGACGTGGGACTTGGTCCCAGGACCCTGGGATCATGACCCAAGCCAAAGGCAGATGCTCAACTGACTGAGCCACTCAGGTGTCCCTAGATTTATTTTGTTTTCTTAACTTCACCTCCTTTTCCTCTCATAGTTAGAGGATTCAGTTCAGTATCCTATATCTGATCTGGTGCTGCTAACCCTCAATTTCTTAAAATACATTAAAATGTATATATATTTTTAACTTTAGTAATTAACTATTCTCTAAAATTTTGTAAATTAACAAGGCAGGACCCACTCTAGAAGGTGCTAGATGGAAAAACATGATACCATCTACTACATATTACATATAATTTCCCTCTGTGGCAGAATAGTGCATTAAACATTTATATTTCTGTTGAATTTAATCTGACATGCTCTTTTATTTCCAGTGTCATTAAAAAAGAATTCCATTCAAACAAAAATTTAAAATTTATCGACCAAATATTTAGTCATTGATTCCATTTTTTGGTGACTCATTATTTCTCATTTAGATATACGGTATTTATATCCCTTTTATTTAGGAAAAATTAATTGGAGTTTCTTATTTGTGACTAATTAAATATTATTTTTTATAATGATATATAATAACTTTCATATGCCAACTCACAAGTGTATTTAAAATGTTTATTACTATATCATATCCTTGTACGGATATACTACAATCTATTCACTTTTCCCTGTTTTTAGACATTTGGATTTTTCGCAATTATTCTTTACTATAAATGACATAGCAAAAACGTATGAGTCAGTGTTCTGGGTTGCAAGAAACAGAGATGGACTTCAATGAAAAAAAAGACAAACAGAATAAATGTATTGGGAGAGTTGGATAGCCCACAGACTTGGTGAGAAGTTTGGCAGATATCAAGGTACCCAGAAACATGGCTATAGAAACTCCCTAGAAACAGGCTGGTTAAGGGCTGCATCATAGCCACCAGACACCCCCACTAGATGATCACTGCTGCCACCCTGACTGGTACCAAGACTAGGTCCCCAAGGTTACTGCTGTCACCATTAATTACTGTCCCACTTCCCCTGCATCTTTGTATCTCTCTCTTTCCCTCAAGAGTCAAAGTCCAGGATGTTGACTTCTGCCTGGCTAATTCTAAGTCATTTGCTTGTCTTCCTGATGGCAGTGGGTGGGCAGAAGAGGTGTCTGGTGGGGACCTGTCTCCTACTAAGGCTCGTGCAGTGTTTGGTTTCACTGAAACAGGAAGGGAGATTGGATGCTGGGGTCAGGGGGAGACATGTAATTATTGTTGTGTAAATTTTTACATGTATCTCTTCTGGTTACTGCCTAGGGATTGATTCCTGGTATTAGAGTCATGAAACCAATGTGTATGAAATTCTTAAACTTCTTTGCCCTCCATTTGTCCCTTTATTCTTTGTGTTTTCATGATTCTTCTGTCCTTGTATTACACGTTTCTCTGGTGACCTCATCCATTCCCATGGTTCAAGGGTTTGAGCCGCTGTAGATATGTGGGTGAGTCCAAAATACTTATTTCCAATCTAGGTCTCTATCTTGAACTTCAGACAAATATATTTAACTACCTAACATAATCTGTAGATATCCTAGAGACATCTGTGAATATCAAAAAGTCCCAAACAGAATTCATCATTTTCCTCCTTGAGCCTATTATAGTATTCCCTCATTTGGTCAATATGACCACTATACCCCTAGTTCTCAAAGTCCAGATTTTGGTTTTTATCTTTGATCCTTACTCCTCCTTTCACTCTTCTATCAAATTATCTCCAGATTCTGCAAATTCTACTTCCTAAATATCTCTGCAATCTGTCCTGTGTTCTGTATTCCTTAGTTTAGGTGCTCATCACTTTAGTTCTAGATTATGGCTTTTGTTTCTTTTTTTTTTTTTAAAAGATTTATTTATTTGAGAGAGAGAGAGCACACACACGTGCATGTGAGTGGGGGGAGGGGCGGGGGGGGGAGAGAGAGAGAGAGAGAGAATCCTTGAGCTCGATCCCAGGACCCTGAGACCATGACCTGAGCCCAAATCAAGACTTGGCTGCCCAACCGACTGAGCCACCCAGGCACCTGGGCTTTTGCATCTTAACTGGGTTTGCTGCTTCCAGTCTTGCCCTCACTAGCTGCAGTTTTAAAGATTTAATTTATTTATTTTAGAGACAGAGAAAGAGAGAGAGCATGCATGTGTGCACAGGGGGAGGAGTAGAGGCAAGAGGGACAAGCAGATTCTGTGCTAAGCACAGAGCCCAACATGGCACTCGATCCCACAACCCTGAGACCATGACCTGAGCTGAAATCAAGAAAGAGTTGGATGATTAACCAACGGAGCCACCCAGGCACCCTACCAGCTCCAGTTTTAAAATGCATAGACAATCATGTTTTTTCCTTGATTAAGATGTGATGAAGATTGATTATTTCCTCCAGGAAGCCTTCTCCAACCACTTTGTCTCTCTGCTCCTTCCTGTCCACAAAGGTTAGCTGGCCCTTCCTGGTCCCCATGGCACCTTGAGCTCACCAGCACTCTTCATACCTTGTTAAAATCTTTGCTGCAAAAAGACTGAGAACTCCTTGAGGGCAGAGCTTATGAGATTCATATCGAGTCACCAGTGCCCAGTGTAATGCCTATGCACAGTGGGTGCTCAGTATAAGATTTTTGAATGAATGTTATGAATGGGTTTTAACCCGTTATGAAACAAGTGGTAGCTGAATAAGGAGTTAGATGACCAGTTAAACTTATGAAACCCAAACACCTGCATTTATAGACCCTATGTTACCTTTCAGGGACAAATCTTGGAAATACCATTTCCATTATAGGGTAAACATGATTTCTTATTCAATGTATCACAAACCACTTTTTCAAAGTGGAGAAAGGAGAATGCTGTAAGAACCAGACTGTGAGGCCAAGAGATTTATTCCACAGGGGAAAAAACCTACAAAATATAGGATATACTTTATACAGATTTGGCAGATAATGAAACCATAAACTATTTAATTTTTTTCTTTCACTATCCCAATGTTAATTTTGTGGGTTTTTTTTTTTTTTTTGGTATTGTTTTGGGGTGTGTGCGTGTGTGTGATGAGCATTGGTGTAGCAGTCTGAAAGGTGTATTTTGGAAAAACATAACATGGGAATGACCTGGTGACCCTTGTTTCCTCTTAGGGCCATCAGTCTGGCTGGCTGGTCCCAGGAGAAGGATACACACTTGCGATCACCCAGCACCAGCAGCTTGCTGAAATTGACTCAAAGCTCCAAGAACTTTCTGCAGCCTCACCAACAACTTCCAGCTTTTCTCCAGCACTTGAAAACCAGAGTGATCAGGTAGATTTAATTTAAGAGCATACATACTGTTCAGGTTTGTGTGCTAAAGCTAGTTCACAGAATTTGACAATCTGCTTGTTAACTGAAGAGGTTTCTTCCCAAATGTTTTTTCCATGACTACAAATGCAGTGATAGTAATAGTAAAGTGTGTGTATTGTGTGTATTTTTCTTTGGTGACTTCACTTCCTCTTCATTTTTCTTTCAGTTGGTAATTTGCTGGGAGGGGTCACTTAGGAAATATTTATTTTCATGTTATTATGTCTTTCTGATTTAAGCTAATTCTTTTTTTTTTTTTTTAAAGATTTTATTTATTTATTTGAGAGAGAGAGAATGAGAGAGAGCACATGAGAGGGGTTAGGGTCAGAGGGAGAAGCAGACCCCCTGCCGAGCAGGGAGCCCGATGCGGGACTCGATCCAGGGACTCCAGGATCATGACCTGAGCCGAAGGCAGTCGCTTAACCAACTGAGCCACCCAGGCACCCTGATTTAAGCTAATTCTTGATCATGATCAGGAGACAGGATAGGAAAGAAAACTGATAAAGCGCTCTTTTGTCCTTTGACAGCCTTATTTCTCTTCATTTCTCTGGTTCTAGGTATCAGCAATGGCAACTGCTTGTCTCTTACACTGCCAGATTCTTCTTTTAATTTAACATCAAGCAGTGAGGCTCATTACGTTGTTGATGGCTTCTCTCTTATGAGGATTTTGAAATGTATGTGTTTCCTCTCTTGCTAGCTCTCTCAAATATTCTTTTACAATTTTCTGTGTAGAAAAACAGAAGAGTAATGGCAACTTTGTAAAAGTAAAATTCTATTTTTCTCCCCTCAGTGCTTCATGAGATCTAGCTAGGGGTCGGGTAGTAGTTTTCACCCAAAGAGAAAATGGCTGGTCTTTTGTTATTCTACCTCTACCAGTTTTGTAGGCATTTTACCAAATCAGTTTCTGTACAGTCTTAGATGCATGTGACTTTTTTGGTCCTAAAAAAGATTTAAAAATAAATGTTCTATAGGTAATAATTTTGCTTTATAGTGAGTCTCGAAGCCATCGACTGAAGGTTGGGGATCTGGCTTTGGGCCATTTGAAACTGCTTCAAGGGAAAAGAGGGGTGTTAAGATGTTCCAAAGAAAGTTTGGTCACTGGCAAAACCTTTATGGAGCCAGGTCGGCTTCCTTAGCTTATGTTCGCAAGGGCCAGGCACAGCTGCTTCTGAGCCCTTTATACAGCAAGGGTGGTGGTGGTGGAAACCACTCATTTCTGGATTGGGATAAGAGTTCTTGGAAAACAGAATTGGAATCTCTGGCCCCACCCAAATGTACCCCAGGACTTTGACACCAGTTATGCCACTCGTTTATTTATGTTACTGGGTGTCATTTCCCAAAAGCAGGAATCCAAGATGGGGAAATAAAATTGTTCAGGGATACTCTTTGTTCTTTTTGTGTTACAACTGATTTTGTTGTTGTTATTGTTACTGGATTTCAAGGGTAGTTGAGATCTCAAAGCTGAGTAATGATCCTATAGATAGAAAATAACCTTTTTCATGGCAGTCAAAGGTTATTCTTTAAGGAGAGATTGAGAATTTAGAGATTTGTTTAGCCGTTAGGGCTTAACTAGTGACTATGGTAAGATTCTGTCATTGTCATTTAAATCACATTTTCAGAGTTCACATTTATAGTTCAGAAAAATATTTAAAAAATACTAAAAGGGAAAACCAGTATATTACTTGATTGTCACATACTGAGATTATGTGTTTTTATGTGAAACAACATATGGTTAGAGAGAAAAGAGAAAACTGCATCTTGGGACTCCCGCTGGATGCAGAAACAGAAATGTAACATCATAGTTGATGAAAAGAATTAATTAATGGTTCTTGCATGCAAAGAAAATTGTCTTTTGAGCTTTTGTTCAATTTCATCTTGGCATTTCCTCATTACTAACTAAAACCAGCATTGCACACTGAATTTTCAAGCCAGAAATGCTGACATGGCAAATTATTTTGCAGATATTATTTTTGGATTGGAATCCTTTTTGGATAAATAGACTGAAAAGTATCTTGGTTCAACCTTGCATATCTGTGCAGTTGATGAATGTGCTCCAATCTGTTGCTGAACCACAAATATTCATAGTGCATATTCACATTATTTTTATTTTTAACCCTTCTGCAAACCATTAACTCATCAGTAATTTTTCCTCTGTGCTCCTTATGAAAGAATGTCTTTCAAGTGGAATACGCATTTCTGTTTTTCAGCAACTGATTCTGCAATATTAATCAAGTGCTCACTGTAGGAATTGTAGGGCACTGACAGACAAGGCAGGCGGACGTAGAACTGTGGAGTCAAAAAGCCTCACTTCGAGTTCTGACTCCTCCACTGACTAGCTTTGAGGCCTCGGGCATTAATTAGAAGCACCCAGAACCCTAGTTTCCTTGACTATCCAGTAATAATAATACCATTCTTTAGGGCTCTTTTAAAGGGTGTTTGAGTTGATTTGTGTAAAGTGCTAAGCACCGTGTCTGACACAAAACTCAACCAATGATGTTACTATAATAAGTGACTTAAGGAGCACCTTTCCTTTCCTTTTATACACATGTGGTACAAGACGACATAGGTGAGCACAACAGAAAGCTATAGAAGCAAAGTGCTGTGGTGCTTCCAGGGAGCGAGAGAAAGCGCATCCAGAAGGAATATCAGGCAAGTCCAGTTCCACAAGAGAGGGACCGGAGGAGGATGAGGAACTAGTGAATGAGGCAGAAGGGGCCAGAGGCCCAGAGAAGACCGCCATTATACAGCACGAGGTTGAGAATTGGTGGCCTGCATGGCAAATTTGACTCACACATGGGTTTCCTTTAGCCCGCATAGGGCTTACAATTTTTTTTTAGGCGACATTTCAGAATTGGGTGAATTCATATAAATGTCTACATTTCTAGTTTTTCTTGGGAAAGTAGAGAGTCCAGCAACCTGAAACCTGAATCCTTGCTCGGCAAATTACAGGATTGCTCTGAGTAACAACTGCAGCTTTCTGTGGAGCACGGGTTCTCCCATTTGCCACAGTATTCACGACTCCGTATTGTATTGCAGGCCCTGAGGCCTCCTGCGTGCATTTGGGTCACTTACCCAGTCCCTGCGCAGGCCGTCAAAACCTCATTGAATGCCTGCTTGTTTTGCCGGAGATGCTGTGGGGGCTGACATCAAGTGTCCGATTGGCATGTGGCTTCATCTCCAACCTTTAAGCAGCTTGTAGCATCCTGGAGGATAGTTGTGGAGTGACCATACGGTGAAAGAAGTATCACAATATGCAAACTGATCTTAGGAAAGTATAGAAAGTGTGTACTGGCGGGGAAGGGCACAGAGAAAGGAGAGGTTGTTTGCTGAAGGCATGATATTTAAAAAATTCCTTTGGAGATTTTTTTTTTTGGTTTTGTTTTATTTTGGTCAAGAAAACAGTTTCCCAAACAAGTTGAAACGTGCAGACTTTCTGACTTAATGGAATATAGCAACTATAAGGGGCTAAGTGGGTAGGCGCGTGAGCCTAGGATGATAAATGTACTCGAGTCAGAATAATTTGAGAGGCTCCAGAGATGTGACTCAGGGATTAAGGAAGTTGCTGTGAAAGGAGCAGTTAAGAAATCTTTTTTTCCTTTTGGGCTTGCTGATTAGGATATTCTCAGAGGATACCTTGGCCTGGCTCTTAAGTTTATGGCAATATTTTAAAAGCAGAATTTGGCTTTTACGTATCTGATTTCCTTAGTGTAAGACAAAGCATGTGGTCACATTCAGAAGGAAGAATGGCATATTACTACTATGGCTGTAATGTGAATAATATCACATGGGTGCCATTTTTACATCTGGTTTTTATTTTCATTTCATCTTAGCAAAAGAGAACTAATTGAAGCAATTTTTTCCCTTAAGATCTGTGGTTTAACTGTGCATACCTTTCCATATCCATCCCCTAACCCTCCAACAAATCAGTTAGTTCTTTCCTCATATTGTAAATCCCACCATAAAATTGAGTGATGTTCTATGATTTAGTCGCCATATTTCTTATTTGTAGCTGTCTTAGATTCCAGGTTTCTCTTGAAATATCTAAGGTATAGGAGTTATGTGGGTATTTAGTTTCTTAAGTCCTTAGCAACTGGATTCAATAATAAATTCTATTCCACTTGGCTCTTGTAAAGAAGTGTAATTTATTCATGTCTCATGCAATCAGTCATACTAAATCTAGAATTCCAGTTCTATGGAATTTTAGATTTTTTTTTTCTGGTTGGGAGAGGGTCTTCAGATTGTCCTCATTGAAAAGAGGCATTTCTTTGTTCTTAAACCAGCTAGTTAAACTGAACATAAAGGTCTCCCTTAATTTGATTTATTTATTTTTTTGTTTTTAAAATGTTGATTCAGTTGTACGCAATTTGGTAAGACCAACAAAAATTAACGAACATTTGTTTGATGGAAATTGTAGTTGTATTCATGTTTTTTCTTACCAAGAGCATACTGTTGCTGACAGCAACAATTAACTGTTTTTTGTGTCTCTTCCTATTTCACCATTAGCTAAAGTTGAGGAAATAGAAAATGTTGTTTGACATGTAATCCTGAAAGATGTATCATTGTTGAGTCCAGGGTTTTGCAGAGTCCCGATGATGGCCAACTAGTCTACTTGACGTCAGATTACTCAATACCCTAGTTGAGGGCAGGAATCTGGGAATTTTTTATGTATGCTAATCACAAGCACAGAAATCTTATTGATCATTGGCTCATATCCAAAAACTATATAAGTATGCTATAAGAGCATGGATTTTTGGATTGGGGAATAAACAAGAAGTTGTTTTGAAGGTCGTTGCTAACCTGTCAAACATTCCCAAATAAATCTGGGGAATTCTTCTTGCCTCTTATGTTTTACGGATTACTTTTAAGTTTGTATTTATATTTCTTTATTTTTCTATGTTAAGTATCCTATGTAGTCAAGGTTTCTTTTGTTTCATTCTAAAATGGTAAAAACAATTTGGCCGTAA